TAGGCCCGAAACGTCAGCCTTTCTGCTCCTATGATGCTGCTTGGCCTGCTGTGTTCATCCAGCCCTGCACCTTCTTGTCTCAGATTCTCCAGCATCTGCAGTTCCTACTATCTCTGATTCAACACACCTTATGCAGTTGTATTAGCGTCTCTGCTGAAACTGTTGCCAGACACTGGAACTACCCGTTAAACCAGTGCCCACATTGTACATTCCCATTGGTACCCGCTCTAGGGGAAGCCCCTTGCCAGTGCTTTCCAACACGGTTTTGTACTTCCCCTTGTTAACCCATGAAACAGTATGAGACTGACTATTGATGGATGGAAACCTTTGCAGATATCATTCCTCTTAACGCAACAAAAGTTCACCACAGTCACTGTTCATGTGCGTGTCAGATTTAATTTAAGCAACAGCTGGTTGTCGGTGAACGTTTGTGTATTCCAAGAAGTCCAGTTATTTTTGTAGAGGTCGCTATGCCCGACTACACTGTAGAGTCGATATCTATCCCGTATTCTGATTGCACGGCTAAATTCATCCCTGATCAATCCTCGATTACCCTCGTCTTGGTAAATTAGAATATTTCATTTTGCCTCAATGAGTGTTGTAGACTGTGGAAACGTTTTGCAGATGAAAATCATTATTTTAAGATTCACCGCATTTCCAATGAGGCTGGAAATTTCTAAATGAGCAATGGGCGCACGCTTGCTTCAGCATGCAATCCCAGGGATCCGTGCCAAGTGTGGAAACTGACTTCATCCGCCGGGTCAATTGCAAAATACGGAACTGAAATTTTCCGCAGTCAAATTGAAGCTATTCATTTAGGTGATGAATGTCTTAAATATAATTTATTTTAGTTTGATGTGATTGCTGCAAAATTTATGAGATTTTTATTTTGAGTTAATAATGCAGTTCGAATAACAAACAATCAACATCATGTCAGACAGTGAATTATTTAAAAATCTTCACTGGAACAAAAATTTTGAAGAGGTTTCTTTTGCAGAGCTAATGTTACAGCATCCTCAATCTAAAATCGAATTAAAACTGGCATCTCTAAACAAATCCAAAATGACATTTACACCGTTTCACCTCATTCCAAACCTGGCCATTCAGATCCAAGAATCACATCAGAAAGTAAAACCAATGAAAGACAGAAATATTCCCTGTAAATTTCAAAATGCAGTTCCATTGATTTGTCTGTGTTTGCTGTTAGGTTGACGAAGAGGTCCCCAGTGACTGAGGTGTCAGATCTACAACCGGATTATTCTGCAGATCGTCTGATGTTAATTGCTTTGGGAAAACAAACATAAACCTGGTGCAGAGATAGTAGGAACTGCAGATGCTGGAAAATCTGAGATAACAGGGTGTAGAGCTGGATAAACACAGCAGGCCAAGCAGCATCAGAGGAGCAGGAAGGCTAACGTTTCGAGCCTAGACCCTTCATCAGAAATGGGGGAGGGGAAGGGGGTTCTGAAATATATAGGGAGAGAGGGGGAGGTGGGTAGAAGATGGATAGAGGAGAAGATAGGTGGAGAGGAAACAGACAGGTCAAAGAGGCGGGGATGGAGCCAGCTTGATTTTTGCAATTGTTTATTGTCATTGAAAGCTAACTAATAATGAAAGGAGGGTATTATGACCACTACAAAAGGACTTGATTGTTGATAATTTACAAAAACCCCTGTACGACTGGGAAAATAATTCAACTTGAATGTGTTTGAAAAATTGACAAATATGTTCATCACTCAGTAGTAGATCCGGCAGCTATATCATTTTTACAATTAAACTAATCGGAAGGCAAATTTGACATTGTCCCTGCCCACACCTTTATTTTATATTTTGGCAAAGGTGACAATTTCTGTAAGCTGCAATTGACTTGTTTAAATTTAGATTTAATTGATTCAGTTTACCTGATCCATCTGTTGCTCTGCGAAATACGTAACACGGTGAATTTTATTAAACTGCAAAACGAAACGAAATTGACTCAGGAGCAGGGAAGTTCCCTTCCACAGAACTTTGACAGCTTTCACTGGTTGAGATTACTCAAAACGAAAGTGAAGGATCTGCATAAATGGGACCTTTTTGGACCTGTCTTCATTCAACAGAGAGAGCGGCACTGAAAGTAGTCAATAGATCTGCAGCAGAAATCTATTCAGCAACAAAGTCAAAGATGAACACAGCAACAGCTGTAATGACTGTCATCCTGCTCCTGTGTGCTCTTGCTGCACAGGGTAAGTCAACAATTCTATCTTGTGCTTTAGTTTTTTCTTGCAATACAGAATGGAAAGGAGTCTTTCTGCCGATTGGTTGTTCAGTAAAGAATTTACAGTCACTGATGGTACATGCTATTGACAATATGATGCTTGTTTAATACTGAATTCAATGCTTCAATAAAATTTCGAGATTCTGCCAATGACAATCAACTCAGAATTTAGGTAATTGATTTCATTCACAGGCATTCCAATCCCAGGTACTCAAGGACGGTGTCAGTGCCCTGAGAACCCCAGCTCCAACTTTATCGCTCCGAGAACCATGAAGAATTTGCAATACATTCCCAAGGGATCACATTGTGAGAGACCAGAGATAATGTGAGTAAATATGTCAGAACATCACCTTAAACCTTTTCCATTTTGACGCTGTAATGTTTTTGTAAACATGTTTGATTAATCGCGATTTCTTTACGTAGCAGATTTTCAGGATTGTGTGTGTGTCGCTGATTCTCACCTTGCATAGGAGACATACAATTTCTGTGAACTAGATTTTGACGATTTATCTTCTCTCCACAGCATCACCAAGAAAAATGGGCAGAAATTTTGTGTGAGCCCTGATGCCAAGTGGGTGAAGATGATCATTGGATCCAAGAAAGGTTGGTATTTGTAAATATACATACGTTATCTGTGAATAAATGTGTTTGAGTGAAGTGCTGTTCTCATGTTTGTCCTCAGCTCCTTGGCTAAGGTTTTAACATCAGCCTGCTGTCCATTCGTGCAGACTCTTGATGCATTCTGCAATTCTGTTCCCAAATCTGGCATTTATGTGCGAGCTGTGACATTGAATGCTAACAAGCTATTCAACCACAGTGGTATTAGAACTGAGACCTACACTGTTCTCGCCCTCACCCACTTGTGGTAAATCCGGGAGGAACTGGGGATGTCATTGGTCAGTAACCTGGTGCAGGAATGCTGGGTGATTGATTCCATGCTCCAGCACTCATGGCTGTCATAGCTTCAGCAGCCAGCTGATGTCGCCCAATGCAACGTATCCCAGTGATCAAAACAGGGACTTTATTTGCTCTGCATTGTAAATAGCTCAAGTGCATAATTCTTAAACCTTTTGGTAACTATTCTATCTTAATGTATAACATGATATTTGACAATATGTATGTTTGGCCACAAATTCCTTGGACGCTGTATGTATTAATATCATACTATAAAATTAATGAAATATTAACAAAATCACAACTGTTTGCAATATTGTTTAACAGCCCAGTTGATAATGCCCTGTAATTATGTTTGGTGAAGACACTGTCCTCACTATCAAAGTAAATATCTGCAGTTGTGGGAAAAATAACACTTTATTTAATTTTATTTCAGGTTCCAGACCACATAACTAAGAATTGAGGCTGCAATGGGATTCACTTGATTGCCCGCCCAGGGAATTTGCTGTACAGTGAACACTGAAATGAAGGAAGCTCCCTGTCGGGCATTCACTTTCTGATATCACCATTCGATATGTTGTTTCAGCAGTTCCCCTGCACTGATTCTCTGAAACCTACTTCAGTGTTTAACCCTCTTACACTGTAGTTGTTTACACAGAGCCTAAGCAATCAGGTTGCTTTTGCGAAAATTTGTGCCATGCTGGAGGTTTTCTTTTCATGTAATATTGCATGGGATGTAATATGTATAGTTATTATGAATATGATCTGGCACTGTTACCAGATACTATACAACTGAAAGCAATTTGTTAACTTTCTGCATAAGTATTGGAAAATAATTCCGATCATCAAAAGATTCAGGTAGATGAGGAAATAATAACAGACTTGTGAACTTAGGGATGAATCAAACTAAAGCAGATCTGTTGGTTTTGAAATGCTTTTGTTATTAAGATAATTGGTAGATTTTTTTCAATAATTTGATTTATTGACTGTTAGTAAGTTATTTCATGAAATTTGTGAATCACTGCCAAAGCCAGCACTTATCCCCCATTCCTTTATGAATGTGCTGGTAAGCTACTTTGTAGAACTGTTGCAGTCCTTGTGGCTCTAAAGATAGGAAAGATCTGATGGCAAAATGGATGATGGTGCAAGGCAAAATAGACAACAATTGGGCAAGTAAAGGGGCAAAAACTGTGTTTTGAAGAGGTGCAAATGGGAAAATGCAGAGCAGAGAACAAATCGCTACAGTCCAACCAGATGGTGGAGGGGCAGGGATTGTGATTGGAAACTGTTTACAATAGTATTGGTTCTGGAGAGTGTAAAGTGGCCTGTCAAAAATTGAGGTAATGTTTCTTGAGTCAATACTGACCTGTATTGGAACAATGCAGGAGAATATGGTCATAGTGTTTAGAGTGGTAATATAGAAATACTGTCGTGTGACAACAGAGATAGCAAAAATTGCAGATGCTGGAGTCAGGGATAACAAGGTGATGAGCTAGAGGAACACAGCAGGCCAGGCAGCATCAGAGGAGCAGGAAAACTGACATTTTGGGTCAGGACACTTCTTCAGAAAGACCCTTCTGAAGAAGGGTCCTGACCCATAACGTCAACTTTCCTGCTTCTCTGATACTGCCTGGCCTGCTGTGTCCTTCCAGCTCCATACTGTGTTATCTCTGTCATGTGACATTGCTTCGAACTAAGTTATAATCCAAATTTAAGCCAATGGTTCTTTTGCTGCTGAAAGTCTGCATGTCCTACATGATATATTGATGGCAAACTATAGCTAAAGACTTTGAATTGTTGACTAAACATACGTTATTTCCAGTTTCAATGAAACCTTTCATGTCAAAATTCAAGATCAATTGATTGACATTAACATTGCCACGACTTTACTGTAGTGTTTATCAATCGCTGAACATTTCAAGTAAACCTTGGGACTTTGTTGATATACCTCAGGATCTATCCAAAGCTGAAGTCTGTGGAAAGAAAGTGTCTGTAGAAATGATGCGCATGTGAAATACTTACATTTTGGGAGATATTGCTGCTTATCATGTAATGTTAACAGCAAGTAATGATATTTCATTACTTCATCGCTGTGAAGGGTCCTTTTTGTACTGAGAGACTGTCATCCTGGAATTATGTTGACTGCAAGTTTCGGAGGGAAAGTTGTGTTTTGAATGTGAGTGTCACTCAGAGAAATTGCTATATGTATCTGAATTATATGTTTGTGAATTGTCTGAGGTTTTTGTAACGTTATCCTTAAGTGTATTTAAATGACTAAAATAAACAAGATTTCATGAAAAATGCCTTGTCACGATTTCACAATCTTCAGCTAAACAATTATGCATTTCTTGAGTAGAAATGTTTTGTGGTCTGACCGAAAATAACACCCTGTTCAGGTCATCCCCTGAAAAGTGTGAAAACAGGCACTATATTTGCACTTTGTATAGATTTGAGATTACAATTCAGTCAAATCTCAATGGGTTGTATCATGGGTAGTCACTGACTTACTGCACCAGACAGGCACTGCTGTGAACTGAATCAACAGGGTGTTAAAGTGTAACTTTATCAGAGTTTGTGGTGGGAAAGTTGAGCACATGTTCCTTCCATTGTGACTGATCTCAACATAACTGTTCAGGGGTGCATTCTGCATTCGATGTGATTTTATGATAACAGCAATTCTGCCTGAGCCAAACAACAGTCAGATCGCTGCAGGATTCAAAGCAATGACCAATGGAGACATAGGAAACAGCTTGATCATCTTAACTGACAAGGACCTGGAGAATTCTCCAGATTGCCCTGTCTCCCCACCACACATTCATCAATGCCATAGAGTCCATGAATTTAGTCTTGTTTCTCAATCACGTTCATAGCATCTCCTCTCTGCTATTTCCTCCAGCACAACACTAACTTTCATGAGTGAACAGTCTGATTAGACCTGGGTCACAGCGTTACATCTGTGGGGAAAGACATTCCTAGCTGATTAATGATCTTTGATTTACAATAGCGGAATATTAATTTTCTCCTCATTTAAAATGTCATAACAATCATTGAACTGAAGATGGTCCAGGGTAACACATCCAGTTGCAACAGCACAAAACTGTTACAATGCAGAAAGAAGCCATTTAGCCCAGCTCTCCAAATGAGCATCTGACTTAGCGTCAATCTCCTGACCTCTCTGCTTAACTGTTATGAAAGAAACATATTGCAGATTATGGAGATCTAAAAAGAGAATAGAAAATGCTGGGGAAACCTCAAACTAGCAACCTCAGTTGAAACACGGCATCAGTGGATTAATCAGTGAATCCTTACTGCTTTTCCTTTAGTTTAATCTGCATTATACTTGGCCAAGTTCAACCTTGAGTACTCTATAATGAATGCATTGTGGTTGATTATGTTACGCATGTGTTAATAATGAACAGGAAGTATTTGTACATTTTTAACATTTTGAAATTATTTCTACTTTTTTGCAGATGTTAATTGTTTAACTCTCAAATTCCTGAATAACTTAATGTTTACAAACTGCACATGGTGAAGTATGTATTGAATTGGCAATCCAAGATCTTTCCAAAATTCAAAACCTGTTGTGGTGAAGTACCTTGTGGGAAAAGACAATAATCATTCTATATATTTGCTCATTTAAAAGCTCCAGGTCAATTGTAAATACAGTGGAGCAACTACATTTCTGGATGTGTGAAACAATAGTTTTTCATCTTCAGGATTTTTCGAAGACTGCAAAAGTATATAAAACAAAATGAAAGATTTAGTATCTCAATGGGGCAGCATGGTGGCTCAGTGGTTAGCACTGCAGTCTCACAGTGCCAGGGATCCGGTTTTGATTCCACCCTCGGGTGACTGTCTGTGTGGAGTTTGCACATTGTCCCTATGTCTGCATGGGTTTCCACTGGGTGCTCCGGTTTCCTCCCACAGTCCAAAGGTGTGCAGAATAGGTGGATTGGCCGTGCTAAATTGACCATAGTCTTCATGGATGCGCACGTTAGGTGTGTTAGCCATGGGAAGTTCAGGGTTACAGGGATAGGGCAGGGAATAAGTCTGGGTGGGATGCTCTTCAGAGGGTCGGTGTTGACTTGTTAGGCTTCATGGTCTGTTTCAACACGGTAGGGATTTTATAAATAAAAAACAATTAACAATTAATCAAGCTGGTCAGAGTTGAGCAGACCTATATCATGAGAATATGGGTAGATTTGGACTTTGGACAGCCACACAAAGAGACCTGTATCATAAATTCAGCCAGTGAGCTGTGGGGTGGACCATGTTGCTAATCGAATGCAGTTTACTAGATTGAAGCCTGGAAACTGAGCCAGAGTTGCTGCCAGCAAGATCAATAATGGAGTTATGGTGATTATGATCGCAAAGCAAGAGGGTCCCCCATATGGCAGCAGCACAGATTGTCTTACTGGAACTACATGGTGAGGCAAACACATTTTTTGTCTACTTTCTAAAATCAGCTAAGAGCTGTTTGCAGTCAGTCATTGATTGTCATTGGGAAGAGAGACAGATCACAAACTCGATGTGAGTCACCAAGCAACAATACTTTGAAAGTGTGGCTTCCCAATAGAGAGAGGGTCTCCTTCCCAACCTGTTCAAAATTGAAGTTCACCTGAGAATTATCCTTTGAAAAACTGCACACTAAGCAACCAACATTAAAATGTACAATGCACCTTTTACTTTACAGAACATCCTATTCCACTACAAAAATTAAATCCATTTGAATCCTGAAGGCTGATTACATGGGAAACCAAGAAGTGTAAATTAGCAAATAAAAACCAAAAGAGCTGAGGATGCTGTAAATCAGGAACAAAAACAGAAGCAACACAATGTGGAGCTGGAGGAACACAGCAGGCCAGGCAGCACCAGAGGAGCAGGAAAGTTGACGTTTTGGGTCAGGACCCTTCTTCAGAAATGGGAAGGGTGAAGCGAGTTCAGAAATAAATAGCGACAGGAGGGGTGGGGCTGGGGAAGGTAGGTGGGATGGTGATAGGTGAGTGCAGGTAGGGAGTGGTGGGGATTGGTCAGTGAGGTGGGAGGAGTGAATAGGTGGGAGAGAAGATGGACAGGTTGTTTCAGGTCCAGGAGGCGGGTTTGAGACGAAGGGTTGAACAGGCGATGAGGCCGGGGGTGGGGAGTTTTTGAAACTGATCAAATCCACATTTAGGCCATTGGGCTGTAGGCTCCTGAGGCAGAATATGAGGTGCTGCTCCTCCAGTTTGCAGGTGACGTCATTGTGACACTAGAGGAGGCCCAGGATGGACTTGTCATCCAGGGAGTGGGAGGGGGAGTTAAAACAGTTCGCAACCAGAAGGTGTTGTCGTTTGCGCGAACAGAGTGCAGATGTTCTACAAAGCGGTCTCTGAGCCTCCATTTGGTCTCACTGATGTAGAGGAGGCCACATCGGGAACAGCAGACGCAATAGACCACATTGACAGATGTGCGGGTGAACCCCTGTCTAATGTTGAAGGTTTGTTCTGTGCCTTGAATGGAGGTGAGGGGGGAGGTGTAGGGGCAGGTGAAGTGCTACACTTTGATGCTCACCTTATTCCCTGTAGTTGCAACACATCAGTTCGTGCAATATCTAGCTGTGTGTGTGTTTTTGTTTCAGTATAATAGAATGTTCACGTGGAGCTGCTAGACTTGGTGTCTGCCTTTGCCCCCTCTGTACTTTGCCAGCTCCCCTGGCAGCTGCAGGCAAATGGCGGTCTGGATCTCTCAGGAGCTGAAGTTGCTGCAGGGGTTGTAAATGTGCCAAGCAAGGAGCCTCCTCATGATATGCTGTAAAATATCTTTAACAAATGAGATCATGAAGTTCGTGGCCTTGGTGGAGATCCCAGTGTCAGGGTGAACCTACTCCACTAGTTTGTAGATGTAGGTGGTGTAACTTTTGGATGGCACGGTGACTCAGTGGTTAGCACTGCTATCTCACAGTGCCAGGGACCTGAGTTCAATTCCAGCCTCGGGTGACAGCCTGTGTGGAGTTTGCACGTTCTACCTGTATCTGCATGGGTTTCCTCCGGGTGCTCGTTTCCTCCCACAGTTCAAAGATGTGCAGGTTTGGTGGATTGTGCTGTTTTGCCTAGGGATGTGCAGCCATGGTTAACACAGGGTTACGGTGATAGGATGGGGTCTGTGTGGTCTACTTTCAGAGGGTCAGTGAAAACATTATGGGCTGAATGGCATCTTTCTACACTGCAGGTATTCTATTCTATTCTATGTTTCTACCTTTCTCCTCTTCTTGTCAGTGTTTGCCTGAGACTAGTTCACTGCTTTCTAAACGTCTTTCTTGGCAACTTGTTCTTTCTTTTCCTCAAGCATGTTGACACACCCTCAGTGTGCTGCAAAATCTGGAATGAATTCCAGATCTAGATCTCTTTCAATTGTTCTGGAACTTTGATCCAGAATCCAGCCTGCAATATTCAAATACTTGTTTCCTGTGGTATTAATTTACATGAAACCTCACAGGAAACATTTGTTGACACTGGAACAACATTTACTCTACAGGACCATACCATCCAGCTCATAACACCCTTCCCAGAATGCTTCACCATGACACTGACTGTGAAGTAACCCTTCCCAGAATGCAATTCATGATCAGCTCAAGTGTGCGCTTACTTTATCATACAATCCCAGTGCCAATGGGGAACATGACAACTGAAAAATACTAATCTGTGATGAAGAAAAAGTTTCCGGAGTGCCTGCGGCTGATTCAAGTTTCAGTTTATGTTTGTAACATAGTGTTGGGGCTATGACTGTGCTGACTCCTCCCCCTTGGGTTTGTACAGTGGTTCGTAATATTCCAGAGTCAGAGTTCATTCAAATAGCAGCCGGATTTGGTGAACCCGTGTATTCTGGGAAATCGGATGATTTTACACTCCATGTAGCTGTGTCAATGCTTGGTTGTGTCTCCATGCGGTAGTGGTGCACGAGGTGAAAGGTCTCTTGCATACAGTCGGAAGAGATCACAGCAATGTGGGTGGTCGACCAGGGATACAAATAACTTTGACTGTAACTTAGTTCCTAAGAAATTCTGAAGGTTTGACTTGCCCCCCACCACCAGCACCGCTCCCCACCCCCAGCAAGTGCTCCTGGAGTTTAACAACTTATCCATGATGTATTTGGCTGTGAGATTAACAACAAACATTCTAGCTGTCAATTCTCATAACCACACCATGTCTTCCTTGATAATACACGAAAGAGGTTATGCCTCAAAAACAATATTAACATCCTTTGAACTTGCCGAATATACCTGGCAATGCCTTCTCCTGCTGTCTGTAAACAGATTATGAAGG